CCCCACAGTCCCGATTCGGGCTTACTCAGACCTGCAACGAGAGAGAGAGAGAGAGAGCGAGAGGGAAATTGGGAGCGTGAGCTGACAGGCAGTTGGGGCATCACCTGTTTGTGTAGCAATGACTGTTATTTATTTGCCTCGATGACAAGCTGCATGATCGACGCTGTCTCATGTCAACTCATGCGGCTTTACCTGCTTTGAGGCAAATTAGCGCCGGAAAGTCGGAGGCATAAGGAAATTCGTGGGTCTGCACAAGTGTGGACCGATATGAATCTATTCCCTCAAAGAATATGCACTGTGTCCATGAGCTAGAATCACCGACAGTAATACTGCTGAGCGCTTGTTTCTCGAATATTCACCGGGGGAAAGGAACACTGACCCTCAAGAATGACAGACTGTAAGGGTGGAATTCGAGGTCCCTGACATTATTCCGTTTGGAAGTAACGTTGAATCCGCCAGCTTGTCTCGAGTTGTGTGGGCATCAATAAGAAATAAGGTCAACTAACTGGTAGGGATGCCCCATCGTGCGGCCCCTGGGGTCACTACAGTTAATCTTCTTTCCACCAGTGCATTCATTGGCTGACAACCATCAGGCCACCTAGGTTGTGAATGCCCGTGTCAATCCGAAACTAAGCAACCAAACAAAAACGCGGTGACTCGTTTCAGTTAGTGTAATCGGTGATATTTTGGAGGAACTTTGAGTTACGTTATTTTTGGGAACTTGTTTGTGTCACTCACTAATGACCTTTGAATTGCGAAATTCAGATTGAGACGGGAAGGAGATAGTTGACTGTTTAGTCGAAACCGGAGCTGTTGGAACGACCGTGTGGCAACATTTGTTTGAATTTTGGAGACTTACATATGCTAACTGGCAAAATATCCACAGCTTCCAGTATATTTTTTTCTCTACGATTCAAAATGTTTGTGGATTACATATAGGAAATATAAATGAATCTTTGATCGGAATGACGAGTTCTAACATACGGACTAAAGCGAACATTATAGAATACCGTCTGTTCACTTGTTCCTGATGTATATAACCCTCTTTTTCTTGTGACTTGATCCGTTTTCCCAGTTCCTGATGAACTAAATCAACCGTCAACCATGCACACGACTTTCAGAATTGGTATGTAAAGAGAAGTAGCACATGTGTAGAACCAAGCTATATCTTTCTCAACTTCCTGTTAGCCTTCTAAATGCTTGAATATTCCCATGATAGCATTGAGAAAACGAGTCGGTGAGCGAACAATTGTTTTTGGATATTCCTAGTCATGCTCTCACATATCATATCGTGGAAAAATTCTTACACACACACACACACACACACTCCCATTACTCTCTGCCTCCGAATATTGACCTTAAAATGAGCCAATGGCTATCATTATATAAGAATTTTTCCACTAGATGATATGTAAGAGCATGACTAGGAATATCTGAAAACAATTGTTCGCTCACCGACTCGTTTTCTCAAAGCTTTCTAAATGTTTTGTCCTGATAGCCAAAGTCGAAGAACACACTGCATGTTGACTGGAACTTTTCAACTCAGAAAATAATTTGTGGTTTTCGGATTAAATTATCTATTTTTGCAACAAATTAAAGTTTATTAATTAGCAGATTTCAAGGAGGTCACCATGTAATCGAACTATGAAAATCTCGGTCGCCTCGATGTTCGTGAACTGATACATGAATGCATTTTACGACTGTGGATAGATTACACCGGGGTCATCAGATTACCGGTGAGGTTGCATAAACAAATGCGCGGAAATTAGCTATCGATGCAACACAGTGGCCCATCTGACACGGGGAAGTGAACGATCAGTTTCAGAACCACTAAAACTTCTGATCATTTTTAGCATGCTAGAAATTATGCTCGACCTTAACCGGGAAGCACAGAGAGCAGTCTATTTTAGCAATATCCTGGGCGAAGATCGCGTTAGAGAACCCCAGATAAATATCCCAACTTGCAAAGCAATTCTAAAATTGTAAAAGTGAACCTGGATAACATTCGACAATGACATGACATCAAAATGTTTCAATGTTTCAGGCGAATAAAGTAGCCTGATTAAACTAAATTCCTAATGTGAACTTAGACACCATTGAAACTTGGTGTAAAATTTGGTTTCATTGAAAGGAAAGCACCAGCGAGCGCGCTAAAAGGATTGTTTTTGTAGGTTTCTACTTTGGTAATCAAAGATACTGTGTTACAAAAGTATCAAAAGGTGCACAGGGAAACAAACAAAACCCTTGTTATTGTTGTTTTCATGTCTTTCTGTTTTGTATCCCCATCAAACTAATTTCTGCTACTGCTCTCATTGCATTGGCACCATGCTTATTAACACACACACACATT